CGTGTGGACACTTGTCCAGAGGCGCGTGCACACCAGCTGGCCCCACAGACAGCTGCATGGCATGGGTAGCTGCAACAAGATGCCGTAGTCCATGTGCTTGTGGGAAAAGGTCACTAGCTAGACTTCCTGTGAGAGGACTAGCACTGCAGCCAGCTTCCTTCAGTTTGGACTCATTAGCCTGATGGCTGGGATCTGGAATGTTCCACACCCTCACCACCTCCACTTTCTAATTAGGTTTGTCACTTAATGATACTCTTGAAATTCCCGAGTCCCATAGCAAAAGTCTGATAATGTAGTCTAAGCAAATAGGCACATGAACTTAAAAATGCCCGGAGAGTGGTAATGGCTCTCAGTATGACCCAAGAGAAAGAAGTGACTGTCCCCAATTTGCTTTGAGCCACAGTTCTCACAGTCTCGTGGGTAGGGCTATTAATGAGTTGTGTGCTGGTTTCTTCCTGCTCCTTCTGGTTTTCTCCTTTTTTACCTTGGAAATGGGGACAAACTCCTGATAGGCTCCTTGTAGTCATTTGCTCTTTGCAGAGGTGACAAACAACGGTTAGCATCTTGCTTCTTTTGTTCAATAGAACTAAAAATGCAATAAAAGCAACCTAGAGGCCAGATGCCAAAACAGGACACTTATAGGGATGGATCCTGGGGAAGGAGAGATGGCTACGCCCATGCAATGCCTAAAGCCCCAGCATTAGAGGGCAGTGACAGACAGACAGATCTCCAGAGCATGATAGCCAGCCAACCCAGCCAAAGTAGTGAGCTTCCAGGTCAGTCAGTGCAAGGCCCTGTCTCAAGGCAATAAAGTGCAGAAGACAACAGAAGAAAACATGTGGCCATCATGCTCTGGCCTCCACAGGGGCATGTGGACACACACCCTCGTGCCCATGCAAAACAACTACACATAAAACATACATGCACATACAACATGTAACACACACAAATGAAGAAATGGGTCTTCTAAGAAGCAAGAGTCTGTATACATGTCTGAGAAACTTGCAAAGAGAGTCTCAACTGTGCCCCATCATCTTCTGACAGGCGCAGCCCATACAGGCACAGATAGCAGATTGTGTTGGAGTTTCAGTTTCTTTCAAAGTCTCTCCCTTCTGATTGACGGAACCCCCTTGAGAATGAAATCCTTTTTTCCTGGCACCTGGAGTATCCGAGGGTGGACAGGTGGCTACAGAGCCCTTTATCTGTCGGCCTGCTTCTCCTAGTATGACGCACACCTTGGCTCAGGCCGTCCCCTCAGCCTGAGTCACCACCCCCACTCTATTCTGATCCACAGCTGCCATCATTCCTGTATCTTATGGCATTGGTGTATTGATGTGTCTGAGTAAAGGAGACCGATTGGTGCTTTTCAGTTTTGCTCTGGACGTCTTGCAAATAGCCACCTTCAAACAGGCTGAAAACAAGCTTTAAAAGTCAATACAGGAACTAGAACCAGAGAGAAAAATAGATTCTCCAGCTTTGCCACCCCATTCCAACCTGAAACAATATTTTTTTCTGTCTAGGCCTCTCCAGGGAAGGGTGTCTACTTCCCAAGACATTTTGTACTAGTTGGGGTAGGCTAGATCATGCTACAGTAACATACTTATCCCCTAGTCTGTGACTTGGGATGGTAGAACTTTAATCTTGTTCCTGTCAAGTATCCAAAGCTAGTCAATAGGGACATTTCATTATATATTCCACTTGGGAAGAAGAAACTTGAGAACCACACACCAGCGCATGCACAATCATACTTAGAAGTGAAGTGTGTCCCCCCTGATCACTCTTTCCTCTGTAAAACTCTAGTATGTGTGTGTGGGGGGAGCGGTGCTTATGCTCTATGTATCCAGAAGAAGAGCTGGTCTACACTTAGGCATTAATGTCACCTACCATTTGGTTCTTTGCCAGAACACACAGAGAACTCTAACACAATATCAGTCATTCTAAAATGATGTCTCCTGAGCATTGACAATCGTCACACAAGTAGAGGGTTTTTTTTTCCTGTTAAGTAGCCAAAATTTCTCATAGAAAGATATATATATACACACACACATATA